CCTATAATCCCAGCTATTAAGAAGGTCAAGGTAGAAGGGTCACAAGTTCAAAGCCTATATGAGCTACAGAGTTAAGTTCAAGGCTAGCTTGGTAGCCATGGTGAAACTGTGTATCAAAATAAAAAGTAAAAAGGTCAAGAATAAAGCTCAGTGGTAAAGTGCTTGCCCAGCAAGGCTACTGGCCAAGGTTCAATCCCTAGCACAGCAAAAATAAGCTGTGAGTACTGGAAGAATAAGGAAAAAGGAAAGACTGGAATGGTGAATAAAAAAAAAATAAAAAAAAAAAAACAAAAGCAAAAACAAAGCAAAACAAAAACCAAGGAACACAGGTGTTACATGTTTTTGAAGCCTAAATGTCCCCTAAAGGCCACTAAATGGCCTCCAGTTTGTAATGCTATTGGAGAGAGCCTTAGTGCAGGGATAGGGTGAGAAAGTTAGGTCTCTGATCTTGAAGGAGATGGTAGGACTCTGGCTCCTTTCTTATTAAGTGGGTTTGCCTTTCAGAGGCCCTCTGTGGCAGGTTCCTAACTTGTTTCCTGTTTTCTCCTTCTTCTGATGTCCATCCTCTTTGCCTGTCAGGACGGGGATTGAGCATTTTAGCAAGAGTCCTCCCTCTTGATTAGTTTCTTTAGGTGTACAGATTTTAGTAGGTTTATCCTATATTATATCTATATGAGTGAGTTTATACCGTGTGTGTCTTTCTGCTTCTGGGACAGCTCACTCAGGATGATCCTTTCCAGATCCCACCATTTACCTGAAAATTTCATGATTTCCTTGTTTTTATTGCTGAGTAATAAACTGATTGACCTGCTCTTTGATCACCTCCCCCTGAGGAGGGAGCAGCCTTACCAGGCCACAGAAGATGACAATGCAGCCACTCCTGATGGGACCTGATAGACTAAGATCAGGAGGAAGGAGAGGAGGACCTCCCTATCAGTGGACTTGGGGAACGGCATTCGTGAAGGAGGAGGAGGGAAGGTGGGATTAGGAGGGGAGGAGGGAGGGATTTATGGGGGGGATAAAAAGTGAATAAAGTGTAATTAATAAAAGTTTTTAAACCTTTAAATAAATAAATAAAAGAAGTGGCTTTGCTCTGGCACATATATTCACTGCCACAATATTCTACATTGTCAGAGACTCACAATGATGGGGCCAAGCAATAGTGTACTGAAATTTTCGAAACTGAACCAATATAAATATTTTCTCCTATGTGTGGATTTCCATGGGTATTTTTCCACAGCAATAGAAACCTGGCTGACAGCGAGACTAAGAGACTCAGGCAGAAACTTTCAAGCTTCTGTTTTTCTTTCAAATATGTGTTGCACTATTTTGAATAATCTTTCAGTAAGTTTTTGGTATAAAGCTTGCCACTAGGTGATGTTTAAAGTTTCTGGCCATCTTGAAATAACTATGCACAGGTTAGAGATCAGCATAACAATATCAAGGTGTAGATGTTAGCTAACATATACTAAATAATGGAATAAATGTTGACAGTAACAGTCATAAAACATAAGTTCTTTCAGCTTTTAAGAGTCGTCACAGGGAAATTCTTCCTTGATTTCTACAAAGCATTTTTAAAAAATTGTTTACACGCAATTTATTGAGGAAAACTTTTGAATGAAAATGGACAGTCTAACAAAATAAACACATTAATTCACTCCTTAACTACTATTATGAAAAGCCCTTCCATTAGATTACTGCATATTATGATTGCTGCCAACCCTTTTAAAGCAAGTTCTTCTTTCTAATGAGAAGAAAAAAATGACTCTTGAGTTTTGCATATTAAGAAGTCCTTTGCTGGCAGCCAAGAAATGTGATACATTCCTTAATCTCTTTGTACTACAGAAGGTGTTAAGTTTTGTAAAATTCCTAATACTTATCAAATGCCACTCGTTCTCAGCTATAACCTTCCTAAAAATTAGTCAATGACATTATATTGTAAAAAAAAAAAAACTATAGTAAAGATGAGTATTTTTGAATCTTTATCATGAAAATTTTCAAACATGTATCAAAGCATAAACCATAGTATAATGAAATACCACATACTAATCAAAGCCTCAACTATCCCTTCACATAGGCCCAGTCTTTTATTTCCTATCTTCTGTCTAATTTTGAAACAAATCCCTTTTTCATACTAGGTACAGACATTTAAAAATATCTCTTGAAGCTCCATCTCTAAAGCTATGACTAAAAAGTCATCACTAGCAATATCGCAACTAAAAAAAAAAAAAAAAACCTAGGTAATTTCAATGTATTTTTTTCATTTCCAGTATCTTTTTAAAAATTTATCTATTCTAATTCCATGTACATTAGAGTTTTGTCTGCATGAATGTCTGTATGAGGGTGCTGGATCCTCTGGAACAGGATTTACAGTTTATGAGCTGCCATGTGGGTGGTGGGAATTGAACCTGGGCCCTCAGGAAGATGCAATGCTCTTAACTGTAGAGCCATCTCTCCAGCCCCCTAAAATTTTTAATTTTTTTAATTTTACTTCGTGTGTATGATTGTTTGGCCTGCATGTATGCTGTGTACATATACACGTGGTCAGAAGAGGAGGTCAGAAGCAGGCATTAAAACTAGAGCTATGGACAGTTTTGAGCTGCTATATGGGTGTTGGGAAAAGAATCTGGGTCCTTTGCAAGAATATCAAGTGCTCTTAACAGCTGAGCTATCTCTCTAGGCTACTTTTTTTTGCCGCTTCTTTGTTTTTTATTTGTTTACAATTTATTCATTGTATATCCCGACTGTAGCCCCCTCCCTCAACTCCTCCCAGTCTCACTCTTCTTCCTTCTCCCCATCCAGCTCCTCTAGTCCACCGAACAGAGACTTCTCCTTCCCTGCCATCTGCCCCTAGCTTTCCAAGTCTTATCAGGACTGCCTGGATCCTCTTCTTCTGTAGCCTGGCAAGACTGCATCGCCAGGAAGGGGAGGAGGACCTTCCCTATCAGTGGACTCGGGGAGGGCATGGGAGGAGAAAAGGAAGGGCGGGTGGGATTGGAAAGGGATGAGGGAGGAGGCTATAGCTAGGATACAAAGTGAATAAAGTGTAATAAATTAAAAAAAGAATAATAATAAAAAAAGACTGCATCGCTAGGGGCAAGTGACCAAAGAACAGGTAACAGAGTCCATGTCAGAGACTGCCCCTGTTCCCCTTACTCGGATAACCACATGGAGACTGAGATGCTAATCAGCTATATCTGAGCAGGGGGTCGAGGTCCTCTCCATGCATGGTCTTTAGTTGGTACATCAGTCTCTGCAGGACCCCTAGGCTCAAGTTCTCTTTTTTAGCTTTCTTGGTCTGTTTGTGGGGCTCCTGTCCTTTCTGTGTTTTTCTCCCCCTGCTTCTTCTCTAAGATTCCCTGCACTCTGCCCAAAGTTTGGCTCTGAGTCTCAGCATCTGCTTTGATCCCCTTTTGGGTGGGGCCTTTCAGAGGATTCTCTATAGTAAGAAGGCTCCCATCCTGTTCCTTCTCTCCCACTGCTTATAGAGTCTCTCCTGTTTCCCACTCTGAATGAGATTTAAGCATCCTTTCTAGGGTCCTCCTTGTTATTTAGCTTCTTTAAGTCTGCAGATTTTAGTATGTTTACCCTATATTATATGGCTAATATCTGCTTATAAGTGAGTATATACCATGCATGTCTTTCTGTTTCTGGGTTACCTTACTCAGGATGATCTTTTCTCACCTAGGCTGCTTTTTTTGGGGGGGGGGGAATCAAGGCTGGCCTCAAACTCACAGAGATCTGTCCACCCTCTGCCTCCTGAGCACTGGGATTAAAGATGTATGCCACCACCATACATCTTTGTCCACATCATGCAGCCAGTCCTGATGAGACCTGATAGGTTAGGGTCAGATGGAAGGGGTGGTGGTCCTCCCCTATCAGTGGAGTAGGGAAGAGGCATAGGGGAGAAGAGGGAGAGTGGGTGGGACTGAGAGGAGATGAGGGAGGGGGCTAAAGCTTGGGTAAGAAGTAAATAAATTGTAATAAATAAATTAAAAACTTTTTATTTAAAAAATTTCAGTGTCTAAAATTTATCAAGCCACAGAATATTTACAGATCATCTATGTCTACAGGCCCTTGAAGGCTCAATATATGTTATCAAACAAGAACAGACACATTCCCTTCCCTGGCCTTACATCAATTACAGTTCAAGAGAAACATCATGCATGTATCAGCTGGACCTAGTCACCTTAGAACTGAAATAATGTGAGTAAATGTCTTCTAGGCAAACAGAGACCCAGGCAGCAGCTGGAAAACAATGCACAGACTGTCCTTAGCAGTGGCTGCTGAAGGGCAACCAAGATCCTTGATGAAAACCAGGATGAGGTATGTTCATGTAACTTGTCAACGAGTCTTAAAGTGAGATGAGAAGCAGAGTATGAAATGCAGTCTGGGAAAGGAGACAGGACGGGAGCATGAATCTGCACAAAGTAAAAATGTAAGTACTGAAACCTGCTGGATTACAGCCAGCAAGATTTCCTGACCCAGCATGTAACATTTAGCTTAAATGAGTAAGAGGGAACAGCTATTCAAATTTAAAAATCCCCAGTGTACCATGAATTTATGAGTATCTGGCCTGTTCCACCCTGGGACTGTTGGCATAGTGCCCACCCAGTGACACCCACTTGCTGTACAGCTTCTAACACCAGGGGTACGTAAGAAAAGACACGCAGATCTGGCAAATGTGAATTCGGATTCATCTTATGACAAGGGAATAGTTCAAATGGTGGCATGGCAAAATCTGGAGCTTCCTAAGATGTTTACTGTTTAAGAGAGAACTACAAGTACTACAACTACAAGTAGAAATTGGTGTTTGAGTATTAGAAATTATTCCTCTTTCCTGATCTAGAAAATATTTCATATTTGGATTAAGTGGTTTAGGCCTAACATGGCCTGATAAACCACAGACTGCACAGCAACATAAGCCCACAGCTGAACTGCCTCAAGTGAACCATACTGCTGTTTCTGCATGGTCAGTGACACTGGGTTGGTGTCCTTACCTTTCACCACATCAGCTACATTACAGGTGGGATCAATACTCCCTATGTGTTTAGGATGAGCAGGGTTAGTGTCACCACCAAACAGAAGTGCTAAAAGAACAAAAGAGAAAGAAAGGGATTGAAACATAGCAAGCTGGGACGGTCAAGCACAGAAATGAGTTTCTACATGTCAAAAGGATCTTTTAAGATTCATTTCGGCCTCCACAATGACTTATAATGTAACACAGCTAATGGGTGAGCAAATACATTAGCCCAAAAGGATAAAAGGTGTACTTTAAATCCCAGCAGTCACAGTCAGTAGATCCTAAAGCAGAGGCACGTGTCAGAGGCCCAATTCTTTCTTCCTCAGCTGATGAAAACTAGATCAAGGCACTTCCACGCTTGGCAGATTATCTCCCTGCTCAAGACTTATAGCCATTTATTCCAGTCTCTAAATATTTACAACATGCAGTCTGGGCCATCTGGGCAGCACTGCAAATGCCTCCATCACAGAGACTCTTTTTTGATTCTGTATACACAGACAGTATTTGTTCAAATAATTTTATTATTATTATTATTATTTATTTTTTATTATTAATTACACTTTATTCACTTTGTATCCCCCCATAAGCCCCTCCCCCCTCCCCTACCGATCCCACCCTCCCTCCCCCTTCTTCATGCATGCCCCTCCCCCAAATCCACTGATAGGGGAGGTCCCCCTCTCCTTTCTTCTGATCTTAGTCTATCAGATCACATCAGGAGTGGCTGCATTGTCATCTTCTGTGGCCTGGTAAGGCTGCTTCCCCCTCAGGGGAAGGTGATATTTTACTATATACAATAGTTGAAAATTTTTATTCCTAAGTAAAAGCCTAAAGAAGATGAAAAGAAAAAAGCAATTCAAGACAATTTTTATAGGTATATTATATGTGAAATCAATCAAAACTTGGGAATAACTTAGACTCCACAAAGGGGGAATACCTAAACAAAAAAAGGGAAATAACTGAGATTATGAAAAATGGTAAATATGGGTATATGCCAGTGCATAAATTTCTAAGTTATTAAAAATAGGAAAAACAGAAGTGTATGAGTTTAATCAACAACTAAATCTATGCACACTTATGAGAACACATTCATGCTTAGATAAGGAAATTGCCAGTATCTCAGTAGATTAGCTGGCTAAGTGTTTAGGTTCCCTTTTTTCTATAAATTGTCATGTATTTGTTTCTAAAACATATAAATACATACTTTGTTTTGGGGGGCATTTTTGTTTTTTTTTTCAAGACAAGGCTTCTCTGTGTATGTAGCTTTGGCTGTCTTGGAATTCACTTTATAGACCAGGCTGGCCTTGAACTCACAGAGATCCACCTACTATCTAAATAAATCAAATGAGTTAAAAAACATGTTTTGTCCATTCTCAGATTCAGCAAGGATGACTCCAAATATTAAATATTTTTCCTTAGAATTAAAAAAATGAACCAAGGTGACAACACTGTACATCAGTTAATAAGTTCATTATGTTAAAAGAAGTTTAGATTCCCCCCCCTCCAGAATCACTGTGGAGAATAGATTAAAACCCTCAATGTGGTATCATGAACTAATAATCTTGCTTACTCAGATTTTGCCTATCATTGTGGAATAAAGGGAACTGCTTATATATCCAACATGCTCATTCAATATCCAAGTTTTTACAGAGGAAGACAATGCAGAAAGTCCTGACAAGACCTGATAGGCTAGGGTCAGAGGGAAAGGGGAGGAGGACCTCCCCTATCAGTGGACTTGGAGAGAGGCATGAGAGGAGATGAGGGAGGAAGGGTGGGACTGGGAGGGGATGAGGAAGGGGGCTACAGCTGGGATACAAAGTGAACAAACTGTAATAAAAAATAATTTAAAAAAAAGAAGCAGAAAAAAAGAAAAATGGATATTTGGAAAAAATAATTCCAGATAAATTAAATTACTGAGAAATTAATGCAGCTGCCATTAACACCAGTCCCTTGTCTCCATAGAAATGTAACAGCAGAGTCCTTGAAAGGCAGGCAGTGGTCCTGCCTCTAGTGTAAGCACCACAAATGCCTTCCAAGAATACCTTTGAATCAAGAATACTGATTAACAGATTTTTATAATAGGAAGGATTCACTTAAAAAAAACTGAACTAGAAATGAAATTTCCACAGCTAAAAGTCTAAGTCAGTAAATTAAACATAAAGTAAAATGTAAACGTCAGAAAAAAATCAATGTGGTTACCTTTCTGAATCTAGACCCAACATAACCCAACTTACTGTGCTGGTTAATAAGCATGCGGAAAGAAATGCGGTTGGTATAAAACCGATCCAGGAAATACTGGATGTTACTGCTAATGAATGGATCAAACCCGAACTTTTCCTTGTACTCAATCACGCCTTGGGCCATTGTAGGAACAACATCATTGTGTCTGTTTCTGATATTAATCAGAACGTGGAGAAAGCTGTGTGGGAAGGAAACAAAATGTGGTTTAAGTTTATTTTTCATGGGCTGGAACCCACCTCTTACCTCTGTCTAGTTACCTGCTAGTATTCTTTGTAAGCGGAAACATTTCTTCCCATAGATAGTAAAAGGCAGCAGTCATAAACACTATAACCTGAATCAAGCTTTGGCTTGGGACTTACTATTGAAATTCTCTCAGAACTACACAAAGTAAAACATTCTAGTAAAGGTTTGTTTTTGTTGTTGTTGTTTGTTTAAGTTCAAATACTTTTTAAGGATGCACTGACATTTTAGGGTTCCATAAATGTTTTTTGACTAAAGAATTACAGAACACAACAATGTTTCTCCTGATAACATGAGAACAATCCTGTCAAAGTCTCTAAGGACTGAAAAATGGAGTCATAAAGCAACGGCTTCTTCTATGAATAAATGCCAAACTTTTTGAGCAAAATTGAAATAATTTCCTTACAGCAGTAAAACATAATGGATAAATATAGATACAAAAACTCAATTAAAATAAACGTATTTGCTGGGTACAGAGGGCACATATCCATAGTTCTAGATACTCAGATTCGTAGAGGCCTGGGGTGGGGTACTTGAGCAAAGGTATTTAAAACTAGCCCAGACAATATAGGAAGACACCCATCTCAAAGTCAAACACACAAATCATTTTCAAATATTCTGGCACATTATTTTAAACACGTATAAAGAAGGGACTGAAGAGATGGCTCGGTGGTCAAGAGCACTGGATACTCTCCCAGAGAAACAGGTTTGCCAAGTGGTCTAAATGAAATGGTTCCCGTGGACTCATAGGGAGTGGCGTGATTAGAAGGTGTGGCCTTGTTAGAGGAAGTGTGTCACTGGGGGGGGGGGGGCTTGGGGATTTCAGATGCTCAAGTCAAAGCTCAGTATCTCTCCTTCCTGTTGCCCGACAATCTGGATGTAGAACTCTCAGCTACTTCTCCAGTTCCACATCTACCTCAATGTACCTCAATCTACCTCACATCTACCTCATTTTTCCTGTCATGCTGATAAAACACTAGACCTTTGAAACTGTAAGCAAGGCCCAATTAAATGTTTTTCCTTATAAGAGTTGTTGTGAAGCACCCAAGGAGGCAGAGGCAGGCAGACCTCTGTGAGTTTGACTCCAGCCTGGTCTACAGAGTGAGTTCCAGGGTAGCCATGACTACACAGAACTCTGTCTCTAAAAACCAAGAGCTACTGTGGTCATGGCAACTCTTCGAAGCAATAGGGCATTAACTAAGACACACATGGTGATTCACAACCATTTGTAGGGGAGCTGCCACCCTCTTCTGGACTCAGTGGGCACCAGACACTCATGTGGTACATATTTTGTAGACAAAACACCAATACACATAAAATTAAAAAATTTTCAACATGTATAAAAATACATATGAAATACAGTATTAAGAACAGGGAAATAAATCAAGCAATGAAATCAAATTATGGAGCCAGGCTCAAGTTGAGTAAGTAGGTGTGCACCAAAATTTAATATATTAGAATGTAACAATGCGGGGGCTGGACAGATGGCTCAATGGTTGGGAGCACTGGTTGCTCTTCCAGAGGACCCAGGCTCAATTCTCAGCACCTAGGTGGTGGCTCACAATTGTCTGTGGCTCCAATTCCAGGGGATCTGACACCCTCACATTGATACATACACAGGAAAAATTAATGCATATGGAATAAAAATAAATTATTAAAAATGTTTTTTTAAAGGAAGGTAACGTTGTAAGTCAGTAAAGAAATCATTAAACTGATTAGACCAGAGGGCTAACAATTTAAGTCATATAGCAATTTCAAACCTTAGTTCCCAAGTAAATGAACAATGTAAGAGTAAGACTAGGGAGCTGGCTTGCAGGGGTAAAATGATGAGGATCTGTTTCCATATAAGGGTATGGCAGCACATATCTGGAACCCCACAGCCAGGGGAGTAGAGACAGGTGGCTCCTAGGAGATCACTGGCTAGCCAGTCTAGTCAAAACATCAAGTTCCCTGTTTAGGGAGACAGCCTGTCTTAAAAAATTATGTGAAAGCGATCAAGGAAAACTACCTGATGTCAACCTCTGATCTCCACATGAAAATGCACATATACACATAAACCACATACAAAATTAATTTCTTCTTTAAAAAAACATAAAAATGTTAAGAGTGGAATCAGAAATAATAGAAGAAAATCAGATGAATTAAATATGTAACTCTGGGATAATGAAGGCTGGTCTAAGCTTATTATCAAGGGCAGAAACATGCAATACAAAGAAACAAAGACTATGACTGCAGAATTACGGAAGCACACATTATGAGTAAAAGAAAAAACAAGAGTCCTTACACTTAGTGAAGATGAACATCCTATTGGAAAACTAGGAGAAGGATCTGATACGAGTGGGAAAAATCTATGAAAAAGCAAGCGCAATGCCAATCAATTTACCAGCACAAGAAGCAAACTAAAACATTCTTTATTAGAATGGCAAATAATAACCAGTGGAGGTTGTGTGGAGGTGCTAAATGGAACATTTTCTAAGGGCAATTTAACCAAATATATTTGCAGTCCAAAGAAAATAATTCAATTTCTAGGGTCAATGCTAGGGAAACAACTGGACAAAGTGAGCAGCTGTTTTTAAAACCTGCTTTTCACATACATACACACATACATCCTACAGAGAATGGGGGGTGGGGTGGGAGGGTGCGAGAAAGAGAAAACAAAGGCTGCTTCTAGAGCACTATTTGAGCCAGCAAGATGCCTCAGGGGAGAAATGCAGTGGCTACATAAGCTTGCTGACCTGAGTTTGGATCTCTAGAATCCATGTAAAAGGAAGGCAAAGACCAACACAGGCTGTCCTCAGATCTCCAAACACACGTCACCCACATGTGTCCTCATACACAAACATCTATGCAATCATACACTGAAACCCATGAAAAAGTGTTCTTGAAACTACAAACCAGTCTCAAATCCAACACTAGTGGGTCCAATTGCACGACCTGTATGTAGAGGAATTAATAACATGCCAGGTTCTGGTGGTGGTGCACACATTTAATTCCAGCACGAAGGAGGCAGAGGCAGGTGGATCTCTGTGAGTGCAAAGCCAGCCTGACCCACACCTGAAACCCTGACTGGAAAACGAGACAAAAAAAAGCCCAGGTTCACAATTTTTCCCACAAAATGTTACAATGGGTAATTTTTCATGTAACTCTTTGCAATATGTTTATAAATTAAGCATCTGTAAAATGAAACAATTCATTATAATGCAGGAAAATCTTTACTTGAAGGGATGAGGCTTTTTTAATGGATTAATTCTCAGAATACATCCCTACCTTCCTGGGCTTTTCCGTCTCCACAGTGATGACCAATGTGATTGACATAGATGAGTCCCCAAGCTAGTGATCGCACAGAAGCTCTCACTGAACAGAAAAGGTTGTTACCAGGCCACTAGCTCATCTTTCACCCCTCCCATTTACTAACAGCATGAGGCTTCTCAAATCTCAGCTTCCCAACCTGGCTGTATAAAGTCAGCAAGTGCTCAAAACTCACTGAGTGACAGTTACTGCTGCAAAGACATATCACACACAGGATTCAGGGCTATTTACTTAAGTTGTCCCTGTTGAAAAATTTGTTAGAGAGACAGGACTCAAGAGAACAGCAGCAATTAATAATTATGTACTTCTCCAAATCCATATCCTCAAATGTAGAGCGAGAGGCCAGCTTCATTTTGAGAATTTCAAAATGTGTCTAACTAATGACATAAGGAAACAAAGCTCCTGGATTCAATCCATTTAATGTCAATATGCTAAATGACAGAAGTGACTAGTACCAAGAAGCAACTGTAGGTGTGTCTCTAACCCATTGCTTGCACTTTTCATGTTTCATGGATCCATTAGACAAAATACAACTAAGCTGGAGCTACCTTCTCCTGGCTGGAACCAGCCCTTTTGGCCATATGGTGCAATGCAAAGAACCAGTGTACTAAGGGAAAGGAACAATGACTCATGGCTCTAGCTCTGCTCTGCAGTATCACAACCTTGAGCACATTCGTCCACACCTCTGACCACCATAGTTCCTTGTTTGTGAATTCCCATGCCTCAATTAAAACTCTCCAAAGTTGTTTGTGTAGTATAGTGTTTCCATAGTTCTTTTCATGGAGCATGTCCAAGTCAAGTGTCTACCTCATAATTATGTAAGTCTCTACATACAATAAAAGAGAGCTCTCAGCACAGCAGGACTACCATGAGCATTCACTGTGTATACCCCAAACAGGAAGAAATTAGGGCGAAGGAGATACTTAATTTCTCTTGAGAGAAAAATCTCTACTCACAGTTGGGGTTATGGTTTGCTAGAGAATAAAAATAGAAATACTTTAAGCAATATTAGAATTTAGCAGTCTTTGTGCACAGTGACAGCAATAGAATTCAGGTAGTTATATTTAAAAAAAATACTCTTTTATGCTTCTCCAAAACAAAATCACTACAATTTTCTGAGATCAACATTAATAACCCATTGGAAAATATTTTTTAAGTTGATGGATTAGGTAGATAATTCACGTATATATGTAGGCTACTTGCATTCTTAAAATTACCACTAGATGGAACATTCACTACAATGCTTACTTTAAGCATTGTATTTTATATTAAGCTGGTATCCAGTTCACCTTGAATAAATGTATTAAGAATTGAGTCACAAAGTATTAATTGAAGTTTCATTGTTCTTTGTGAACTATGCTAAATTCTAAATTCCAACTCACTTTTTAAAAATCCAACAATGTCATTACCCATAAGAAAATTACAACTTGTCTAAATTCTAGGGTTTTTTTTTGGTGTTTTCAAATGTGTGTATACTCTGTGGGTGTGTGCATGTTAGAATGTGAGTAAACAAATGTGCATGCACATCCATGTAGAGGCAAGGTTAGTATCAGCTGCCTTCCTCATTCACTATCTACCTTACTTGTCAAAATAGGGTCTCTCATTTGAACCTATTCAGGTAGCTTGGCAAGGCAGCTTCCCTGGGGATCCCCAGTGGGACTCTCAAGCACTAAGCTGACAGGCAAACTGTCACACCTGCCCAGTATTCATCTGACTACCACAGAGCCAGAGCCAGGCCCTCACACTTGTGCAGGGGTCACTCTTAACAACTGAGCCGTCTCCCCAGCCTTGAGTTACAATTCTCGAGGCTGAATAACATGAGGTTCCACTTGTTAAAAAAGTTCTTCTGCCTATAGGTATTTTGATTTAAAGTCACTGGTGTCACACTTACTTATCTAAAACCCGTGGGTCTTCTGGGCTCTTATTTTCATATTCTAAAAGTTCAAGGAAGCTCTGCATGTACCTGAAAAAGAAGAGTTGCCACATTAGCTACCTGTCCAACACCCTTTTCACAATAGTACTTCAAGCTTTCATTCATGTTTGACCCCACTCATATACGCACCTCAAGTGCTCCAAGCTAATTTGATTGCTCCAGGGCATGTTAAGTGGCCCCATCTTTCCCTGGGAGATCTGTTTTTTTCTCCTCAACATTACTCATCAGTTAATAATTACTCATCAGTCCCATAGTCCATAGCTAAGACTATGAACTGTGTGCATCCTGGACACAAGTGTCGACTCAGGAATAAACCTAGTGTTTCAATTCAGGCTGAAAGTACATAGAAGACTTCCTAAATGTCTCTGGGAAAAAAACTGACTTCTCTGCTTTAGTACAGTATGTTCTATGACTATGAAATCTGCAATTTATACAGCTAGTCTGCCAACTGGAAGAAATCTCACCTGAAAACAAAGCCAAGACTATAAAAAACGTAGCTTTGTCACTGATTCCAACTAACAGAAAGTGCTCATCCTATGACTGGTCCTTCTAGTTGTATATGCCAGGGTCGGGTGTGCTTTCTGTTATTACAAATGTATCCTAACTAATATTCCAAGTCTACAGTTGGTTACTTTAAAAGGACACAACTTTTTTGAGAAGAGGTCTCACTAGATAGTCTTGGCTAGCCTCAAACTCAATATGTATATCAAGATGAAATCTATCTGCTACTAACTCCTGCATTCGGGGATTAAAGACATGCATCACCACACCAGGCAAAATGAACATAAGATTCTAAGAAACACCAAAAATACAAGAAGGCTCCCTCTCAGAATAAAATTAACTTCATCAGTATGTACAAAAAATGTATGTCAGAAAAAGATTCTAAATTGATCATGATAGTTCTCAATAAGGGCCAATACAATAAAAATCGTGTGTATTGTAATTCTTGAGTTGTAATAACGTGCTACACATGAACAAAGTTAGGCAGGCTTCCAGCCCTTTCCAAACCAAATAATCAAATAAAAAATGGGGTACAGAGCTAAACTGAGAATTCTCAATAGAGGAACATAGAATGGCAGAAAAACACTTAGAGAAATGCTAAATATCCTTAGTCATCAGGGAAATGCAACTCAGAATGACTCTAGATTCCACGTTACACCGATCAGAATGGCTAAGATCAAAAACTCAAGTGACAACACATGCCAGAGAGGATGTGGAGAAAGGGGAACCCTCCTCCATTGCTGGTGGGAGTGTAAATTTGTACAACCACTTTGGAAATCAATCTGGCACTTTCTCAGAAGACTAGGAATAGTACTACCTCAAGATCCAGCTATACCACCCCTGGGCATATACCCAAAGGATGCCCAACATTCAACAAGGACAATTTGCTCAACTATGTTCATAGCATAATAGCCAGAATCTGGAAACAACCTAGATGTCCCTCAATAGAGGAATAGATATAGAAATTGTGGCACATTTACACAATGGAATACTACTCAACTATTAAAAACAAGAAAAATCATGAAATCTGTAGGCAAATGGATAGAACTAGAAAAGATAATCCTGAGTGAGGTAACCCAGAAACAGAAAGACATGCATGGTATACACTCAGTAATAAGCAGATATTAGCCATATAATATAGGATAAACATATTAAAATCTACAGACCTAAAGAACCTAAATAACAAGGATGACCCCAGGGAGCATGCTTAAATTTCATTTAGAATGGTAAACAGGATAGACAGAGAAGCAGTAGAAGAGGGGAAACAGGATGGGAACCTACTACAGAGAGTCCTCTGAAAGGCTCCACCCAACAGGGGATTGAAGCAGATGCTAAGACTAAGAGCCAAACTTTGGGCAGAGTGCAGGGAGTATTATAGAAAAAGGGGAAGGACAGAATGACACAGAGGGGACAGCAGCCCCATAAGGAGACTAACAAAGCTAAAAATCCCTGAGTCCAGGGGGTCCTGCAGAGACTGATACACAAACCGAGGACCATGCATGGAGAGGACCTAGACCTCCTGTTGAGATGTAGCCCACTGGCAGCTCAGTCTCCATGTGGGTGTCCGACTAAGGGGAGCAGAGGTAGTCTCTGACATGGACTCTGTTGCCTGTGCTTCAATTACTTGCCCCTGGCGATGCAGTCTTGCCAGGTCACAGAGGAAAAGGATCCAGGCAGTCCTGATGAGACTTGAGAAGATATGGGTAGATGGTAATAGTGGAGAACTCCCCCTTTCAGTTGACTAGGAGAAGGGGATAGAGGATAAGAGGGAGAGAGGATGGTACTGGGAGGAGTAGAGGGAGGAGGTCTTCAATCGGGATACACAATGAATAAATTGTAAAAAATATTTTTTAAAAAGAGGAAAAAATAAAGAGAAGCTATAGGTGAAGATGAATCCAAGATTATAGTAAGATTCATAGCATGAAAAGAAAGCAGAAAGACTACAGGATAGACCAGAGAACAGTAGTAGAGTCTGTTTCACTTTGTATCCCTGATTTTACTTATTTATTACAATTTATTCATTCTGTATCCCTGCTATAGTACCCTTCCTCCCTTGTCTCCTCCCAGTCCCATCCACCCTCCCTCATCTCCTCCCATGCCCCTCCCCTAGTCCACTGATAGGGGAGGTCCTCCTCTCCTTCTATCTGACCCTAGCCTTTTAAAAGCAAGTGACAGTAACACAAATACGATCCTAAACTGGATTCCTAAGTCAAGACACAATTTTAAAAAACCAGGAGCATTATTAAGACAATTAGTAAAATAATAACAAGTACTATGTATTAGGAAATATTATTATAGCAATAATAAACTCTTAAATGTGACAATTATATCATGGTTTTCTAAGAGTTATCCCCAGAGATCTGTGTTAAAGTATTTGTGGGCATACTGTCAACTTCAATTCAAATGTTTCAGAAAAAGCAAATTTTTGTATGATGTCAGTGTATAAAAGGAACTATCTGAAATACATCCTCAAACACTCTTGTAGTTATTTGGGAAGAGCATTCCAATGAGAAAGCACATGCTACAGAAATTGATAGGTATATTCAATAAGGCACTTTCTTGTAGTCACTGACTATACTTCTGAAATCCCTTCTATGTCAGCATGCTTCTTTTTCCCACTCACATTTCCAGCTTTTCCTTTCTTTTGTAACAGTTCTTTATTAAAACACGGATGCTGTTTTATTCATCTTGCTTCCTCCTAATACGTAAAACATGGTTAGTAAATACACGATTAAAGAAAGAAAAATAAAAATGTCCAGGGCAAGGGGACTTTTAAAGAAAAAGATGGTCTCATTAGATATTTGCACTCAAAAACTGTTGGTTCTAATGATTAGCAATAACGACGGAATGTATTGGAGGTTGAAGAGTTGCTGGTCAGATGACCTTACAGAAGTAATTCCTCTATAAGGTTGCAGGAGCCTCAGTACAAACTTGTGACCCAGAATCTTGTGCTAGTCACTAACAGGCAACCATTCAAAAGACATCTTCCTTAGTAATTCCCTAGCTCTAGCAATTCCATTTTGATCCTGACTTTTACATTTCTTTTATGCATATGTATATATCATATAATATGCATATACACACATATTCATATTCTCTTCTCCATTCAAGCTGGGAAACAGAACATAAACATGAATTACAAAAGAGCAAATATAGCCAAATGTTATCAGTGAAGCTGGATGAAGGTATCTGGAAATCCTTTCTACTGGTTTTGCAATTCATAAGCAGGAATTTTTTTTTTTTTAAATAGAATGTATAAGAACATCAGTGGACTTGGAGAGGGGCAGGGAGGAGATGAGGGAGGCAAAGTGGGATTGCGGGGGGAGTACAGCTGGGATACAAGCAAATAAAATGTACTTAATGTTAAAAATAAAAATTTAATTAAAAAAAAGAAATGGCATGCATAGTCTGAAGTAGACATGGATAATGGAAAGGACAGCAAGAAAGCTTTAAGAGTCTATACTTCACCGTGCCAATGTCTATGTGTATATATGTGTATGTGTAAATTTATCAATTTGCTATTTCCTTCTGGTTACTTGTACAGTTCCTAGACCTTCAAACTTCCAGGATGGAAGTATCTTTTGTCACTCATGAGAAGCACCTATGGCTCACATTTGAGTTATTCTAATGAAGTCACTTAGGGTGGGGTCTCTTGATCAAAACAATGAGCAAGTGACTGGAGAGCTGAACTTATTTGAGGTCTACTCCCTGACCTCTGTGGAGGCATGAGGCCTAGAAATGAAGCTCCATAAAAACTCCTGAGGTAGGAGATTCAGAAAGCTTTGTGTTAAACACCTGGAGGCATCAACAGAACACACTCAATGAAAGCATGGATGCTAAACAGCCACACCAGCGTCTTATCTGACATATTTCTTCCATTTTGCTGCTTCTCAGTTGTATCTTTTCCGATGAGTTCTGTGATCAACTTTAGCAAATTATCAAACCTCCGAGGTGAGTCGTGGAAACTCAGTGTACAAGCCAGTCAGTCAAAGGCATGTATGATCCAGGACTTACAATTGGCATCTGATGTGTGGTGTCAGTCTTTAGGGACTGAGCCCTTAAATTGTGGGGTCTGTGCTAACTTCAGATACTTAGTATCAGGATTGAACAGAGTTGCTCAATACTCAGCTGATGTCTGGAGAATCGGAGAATTGGTTAATGTTGGAAAACATTTCAGAAGTAACTGCTACATAAGCAATGGGAACTGGTTAATTGTTAGCACCTACCAGATCAATGGAATTGCCTTTGCCTACCTAATATCCTCAACATTGTGGTCCCTGACAGTGACTTATACTTTCTACAGCAAAACTTCCAGTGATGGTCTTGAAGCAATAAAGAAGTCTCACTCAAACAAGTATTTGTTGCTCCTTCCCTCTAAAACAAGCTATGAATCCAAAGCAAAATGCAACTATAATATCAAATCTGTAGTCATTGTTTCTCTGATCTTTCCTGCAACCCAAGGACTCTGTGCCTTATAGACAGGAGCTTCTTGTTGCTTTTCTGGAAAGGGGAATAAGGCATTGAATCTGTGAGACCATCTAAAACTGTGGATAGTGGAAGAAGTCCTGAGATGTGTAAGTATCAGATGGAGTCCTGAGTGAATGCATGTTGTTGAGATGAGCATGGCCTTTCAAGGATGCAAATGCCTCAGACTCATGGGAATGGCAAAGCCATCCCCTGGTCCTTGTGTGGAGTCTGACAGCGTATACAGAAAATGTCCACTGAGGTTTCCTACTCCCGGGTGTTTACAGACTCAGACTGTTTGCTTACAGACACCCCACACACACACACACACACACACACACACCTAGAACAGCTAAACTTGCCTCCTAATTCAGCTGTCCACCATAAATCTGCCTCCTTACTTCAGGGCTGATGTTGGTAAACATCAGAATGCATGGCTTACAAGACCCTAGCCTTCTTGTATGTATATTGGTCTATCATTTTTTCATTCCCTGTCATCTGCGTAAGGTCACTCCTTAGGTCATGCAAGGTCATAGCATAAAATAGTGCTTTTCAGAAGAATGTATATTATTCTTGAGAAATGGCTGTTGAATGCCCATTCTCTATCAAAAGCCAGGCCACCACAAGCTCTCTGAATGTGAGCTAGTTTTCTAGCCCACGGTGATTTCTTATGATGGTCCTCTACACCAGTCAACTCCACCCACCCATCCAGGAATAGTACAAGACATATAGCCAGCATTTCCTGCCTGTTTCTTTGTTCCCAACACTGTTCCTGATTAGCAAAACATATGCTACCTAGTCCTTGCAGTCCTCCAGGTTTATCCAGACACTTCCACCATGCTTTTGTAGCAGAGTAGACCAAACATGCAAATCCCTGTCTGAAAACATACCACCTTTTCCTACAGCCTCCCATTCAATGATCTCACCTAGGAGGGAAGAGTCATCACAACCTCCACTCCCTCTGTTAGAGAATACATGTTTTACAATCAGAGCTATATCTGATTTAACTTTAAGGTCTTTTATTCGACAGATGCAGCACAACATGGAACTGATATTTTTTTCATGTGAGGTTCCCCTGTAAATAACTTGACTTGTTTTAGAAAGTATTTTCCTCAGGGAAGACCTTTAAAACAAAAATAAAAGAGGCAAGGCTGAGATTTACTAAAAGTAGAAAACATCTCCCTATCCAAAGGATGGCAAATGGGCTAGGCATGTAGCTCAATCAGGAGTGCTTACCTAGCTTTCTATGTTGTCAAAGCCCTACTTCAATCCCCAGTAACTGGGCAGGGTGGCACTTGTGTGTACTCACAGGGCCCAGAAGGTAAGAGGATCAGAGGTCATCTAGGCTACAGATTGAATTCAAGGCCAATCTGGGATACTGAGACACTGCCTCAAATTCTTTTTAAATGAAAGTGGATCCACTAATACCTGGATCAGTGCCAGATATAAAGGAATTGCACTGCTATTCCTTTATATTATTCCCTAATTTTTTTCAATGAGGAACCATGTATATAACAAAGAAAAAAATGAAAAGGTAAGAAAAGTGTCTTATGGTTTAAGATACTTTCACTAAAGTTTTTAAATGAATAGTTTAAAACAAAAGTTCTTAAATGCAAGGAAAACCTAGCTATCCTGAACGACTCATTCCCAGACAGACCATATGTCCACTTCTGTGGACAATGGTTCCAGTGCCAAAATGTTCCAAGCATTGTTGGGTAGTCACAACATTTACTTACCAACTCTGAACTAATCCCACTGAAGGTCGGTTCAATAAGTTATCTGGCAGAAGATTAACTTCTCTCATTGTGTTAGCCAGTCGCACAGGAAGCTCCTTGCGCAGAAACATATATGAAGTTTTTTCACATGCATTATCTCTTCCTATTAAGAGATGAAAAAAATTCCATAAAATTAACATCCAGGGACATAAGACGCTCTCATGTTAACAAAATTACTACTGGACAGAAGAAAAAATTTTAATTCTAACTAAATTTTAATTCTCTGAAATAGCAAGTTTAAGAAAACTGCTGGGGCTGGAGAGATGGCTCAGAGGTTAAGAACACTGGCTGTACTTCCAGAGGTCCTGAGTGCAATTCCCAGCAACCACATGGCTCACAACCATCTATAATGAGATCTGGTGCCCTCTTCTGGTGTGGAGGCATACATGCAGGCAGAATACAGTATTCATATTAAACAAACAAAAAAAAGAAAGAAAGAAAAGAAAACTGCTTGATTAGAAGAGAAAAGAAACATTTATTCCAAGAGGCAACTTTGAAAGCAGTTTATTTTTCTTAACACATATATGTAACTAGTGTTGCTGACCACAATATAAAAGTGACCTGGAATATAATTTGGGTTTGTTTGCAAATAAACACTGTGGAAAAATTGCCAAGTACAGAAACAACACAATATGTAAAGCCACTATTGTTCATTGGGGTTTTCTGGGAGGCAACATGCTTCACTCATTTTGTAACTAGTCCTACTGTGTGCCAACCATTTGTTACGAGTTTTCTTCCAACATAAAGGAACACATTGCTCTATCACCCTGGAAGCAAAAGCTCTGTGATTCCAAAAAGGGGCTCTAAGCCACATGGCTAGTATGTCTCAAACACATAGCCTGCAACATACTCCTAGGTAAACGACCCACTATGATAAGCCCAAGAAGGAAAAACGTATCATACAGAGAAGGCCAGTGAGGGAAGGCAGCCACAGCAACCGAGGGGCATGTGAACTCTCATGTGCAACAGCAGAAACTGAGACTACAATAATGGCTCCTGGAGGTGGTGGACAGTTGGGGTGGAGGACTTTTATCAATAGCTACTAAGCTGAAGTTAAAAGAAATAAGCTCTGGTGTAATGCTGCACAATATGGCCAACAATCATCTACCGTGTATTTCAAAAGACTAGAAGGAATTTGAAAGTTTGACACAAAGAAAGGGTCAATGCTTAAGGAGACAAATATGTTTAACCTGATGTTAACATTATGCAAACTTATGTCATGTGATGGACGTTATATGCCACTCCATTAACGATTCATGTAAACAGACTAGGTTAGCATATATCAGATTTTTAAAAAGTCAAAGATAAGACATGATCGGGGACTCTTCTGGAGATGGTTGTATGCATTCACATAAATAGGGAAGGATGAGAGAAAAGGTTATCTGGCCACCTAAAAAAGGAAACCTGAGCCTTTCCTCCAACTGTCTTGTGGCCAGAGCAGTTCCCTAACACTGTTACAAACTTACGGCCTAGGATAGGTGTGAAATAAAGGATATGAGCTTTGGGGAGAGAAACACCCTCTGGCTCCAAGTCATTGTGGGGTTGTGAAATATTTGCTAAGGCTTACCTTACCACGCCTCTGAACTGCCCTAATTAGCTGCCTTAATCTGTAAGGCAGGGGTCAAGCTTTGTAAAGGCAATACGTAAGTACACATAGCCCTGGTCCTCCTACACTCTTTAATACTTATGGGTCTAGCCTATCTCCCCAGCACTGGCTAGCTTCCTACACTTCCTGCAGCTCTTCTGGAATGAACCAAGACCAGTCCTGAGGGAAGGAAGCAGTGCTTTCTGAAGACTCCTCCAAACACTGATTTTTCCCTATATAAAAAGGCAGATACTGAGAGGTTCACAAAAATTATTTTTTAATGTTTTTCACTCAGTTTCTGATTTCTCCCTTTCTACAAAATAAAGCTTGAGACAAAAGGACCCATTCTTTTTTTTTAATTACATTTTTATTTTTTTAATATTAGTTATAGCTTATTAACTTTGTATTCCAGCCGTAGCCCCCTCCTTCATTCCCTCCCAATCCCACCCTTCCTCCCTCATCTCCTCCCTGCCCCTCTCCAAGTCCACTGATAGGGGAGGTTCTCCTCCCCTTCCATCTGACCCTAGCTTATCAGGTATCTTCAGGACAGAATGCAATGTCCTCCTCTGTGGCTTAGCAAGGCTGCTCTTCCCTTGGGGGGAGGTCAAAGAGCCCGCCATTGAGTTCATGAAAAGGACCCACTCTTTTTTTTTCTTTTTTTTTAAGTTTTATTTTTCTCATTAGTTACATTTTGTTAATTCTGTATCCCAGCTGTATCCCTCCTTCCCTCCCCAGTCCCACCCTCCCTCCCTCATCTCCTCCCTGCCCCTTTCCAAGTCCACTGATAGGGGAGGACCTCCTCCCCTTTCATATGACTACGTTTTGTCAGGTATTTTCAGGACTGGCTGCAAAGTCCTCCTCTGTGGTCTAACAGTACTGCTCCTCCCTTGGGAGGTGGGGAGGTCAAAGAGCCAGTCATTGAGTTCCTGTTAGAAATAGAAGGACCCACTCTTAAAAGTCATCTATGGATCGTCTTCACCAACCTGGACCCCATTTCCAAGTTTAAACAAATGAAAATAAAATATTGGTCTCAAATCATTATTTCCTTCATTCTGAATGAGCATATTGAAGGACTTTGGTAAGTAAATCCTTAACGGATGATTCTTTCACTTTCCCCTTAGCACTCTGATGAATACGCTACTTTCCAAGTAAGAGGGGAAGGAGTGCTAATACTCCAGAAATGAGCCTCTATCAGCTACTTTATAAAGGTCATTCTGGTAGTTTTGCTTAAAAGTACATTATTCTTATTGATCCATATAATTTCAATTTTAAATGCACTAAAACACTGTTACTGCCATAGTTAATCTTACTGGAGCTACTATCTAAGTTAAAATATAAATCTGGATTTTTACAGGCCAGAAGAAATACTCTAGATTCTGGTAAAAGACTGGCCAAAGCACTTGTTAAAACATACAGAAAATGTTGCCACTGTGGGCTAATGAAGACCAGCCTTCAATAAAGCTTCTGAAACCTCTCAGCAGCCCAGACCTTACACTCTATGTTGACCCGCTTAGAACAGTTGTAACAAGACTCTTGCTATGCCATTTTAGCAAAAGTTTCCTGCCCTCAGTTTCTGGTCTCCCTCGGTATTGATCCAATTCTTCACCCTCTATTCTAGGTATCTAAACATTCCAGACAGTTTTCAGCATGAGTCTAGTTGATCTAGTAAGAGTCTCTCCAAGCACCAATCTCTATCAGTAATTTTCTGTCCACAGAACCTTTCCCCATGCACACATATATACACTGTTTTTGAGCTAAAATGTCTCCACTTGTCCAAGGTACATGGAAAGCTGAGCCCAATCTTTCTCCTCTGCTATAAAATCTCACTGCAGTGGTCACTCTTGAGTAAAGTTCCTTTACCATCTGTCTTAGTTATTTTTCTATTGCTGTGATAAAAATGTCATGACCAAGTCAACTTACAAAAGAAAGAATTTAATTTGAGGCTTATGGTTTGAAAGGGTTAGAATCTGTGACCATCACAGCAGTGAGCATGGCAGCAGATAGGTAGGCATGGCGCTGGAACAATAGCTGAGAGCTCACATCTTGATCTACAAACCCAAGGCAGAAAGACAAAGCCACTGGAAATAGCATGGGCTTTTAAAACTTCAAAAAAAAAAAAAAAAAAAAAAGGCCACACCTAGTGATACACCACCTTAAGCGGGACCATTGTCATTCAAACTACAACACCATCTTTAACAAAGATTTTAAATAATTTCTTAACAAGAATGTTCTGGAATGGGGAAGAAGTTAAAACACCCCTGTACTGATGAGCTAAAAGTAGAAGTATCAGTATGAATTAAACACTTCAAAAAACCCGAGGGGCTTTGGGCTTGGGGAGGGGTTATAGTAAAAGTTTACATGTTTAAGTTTCCCAGTCTGGTTAGGAGCAACAGATTAGAAGCACAGAGGTGGGATGAATTAAAAGTTGTGATCAGCAAGTGCTAACGAGCAGGCCCATGTCTCTCGTCTGAAACCCATGGGACTAGATGGTTCCAGAACTGAAAGCTTTCCCAGTTTTTAAAAAGTAAAGAGTATATGCCATGGTTATGTGATATGGAATAGTATACAGATACAATATAGGTACTGTGAAATATATGGACATTTACATTAAGTAGGATACAGTCTATTATTTTAAGTCAGCTCAAATCAGAGTCTGCCAAAGAGTAAGTGTAGTGCCAAAACTCAAAATTCTATTTTCAGAACTTTTGGACCTCAGAATTCAGATAAAATAGCAATAACAAGATCTTGCAGACTTGTTAGCTAGACTCGGTCCTGAATCTTAAGCACGTACAGACTTCTTCACCCTTCTATATCTCATTTTAAACATCCATAAAAGAAAAGCACCTTCTTCACAGAGGTTTAGTGATGGGTAGTGTTCAACACTGAACACAGATTCATTCCTTAGCCTTAGAAGTAGACTTCATTAAATAGCAACCCGTAATGCCTGGCAATGCTCAAGCAGAATAGTTCAAAGCCATGAGCAGCAAACATCAAATTGTCTGCTACATATACTGTCAGTCCTTGAAGCATGACTCTATTCCAGACGGCTGGGATCCTCACTCAGCTCATCTGACAACTGTACATCACTTCTAAAAATTAAGGTGTGTTCAGTGTCTCTACCATGCACTGTTTTAAAATAAAAGGCCTAGATGGTACAGCAGTCAATCTGCATTATTTAGAAAACTCAACCTTCAGGCACGATCTAAGAGAACCAGTTTCAGAAAGTATTTAACTCTGGTGGAACTGGATTATCAGATTGTTACAAAGCCGTGGAAAGAAGTTTTGATTTACTATCCCCAATACCATCTATCACAGCACCTTGCCTATTATAGCTTCTCAGTGACTTTTTGGATGATACAATCTACTTGTATTTTTAATGCAAAATAGCTGAAAAAAAAAGATTTCTCTTCCTACATTCTAATTTAGCTCCAAGAACTTTTTTTTGTACTTCACTACCTTAATTATATATCAGCTTAAAAAGCAGCATAAGTCTTTCTAATTAATTAGTCAACCTAAAA